ATTTTCCGGGGGCTAAGGTGTTCGCCCGAAGAAATGCCGTGTTCCTCAAGAAGGAATTTCTATCGGATTGAAAGGGCAGTGTAACTAACCCGAAGAAGTCCGTGAACCACAATCTGAAACCCAGGCACAACAATCGGGTGGGGTGGCTTGCACAAAGTCAAATCTGTTTAATACTATTTTCTATTTTAGGTATTAAACAGTTTCAATTCTCTTTTTTTTTTTTAGAAAACATAAAATATTTGTTGTTAGCTATATAGCACGAACACGGGAATGCGTACACGGGGAAATCGAGAAATGCATATGGAGAAATTCCAATTTTCAAAAAGTTGGATATTGAAATGTGGAGAAATGTGTCAATATTAAAAAATGGTACAACGTTTAACTGTTATACTTATTGAGTCTATATTTAAAACGAGTTTTAGATTTTTTTTGGGATGTAAATGCTTTTTTTATTTTTTTCTACTAATGCTAGAAACATCTTTGAAACTTTAATATTTACGAAAACATCTCCGAAAAGTATTCAACAAATGTTATGGCGTTTCAGTTTCCAAAACGTAGAAACGCGCGCGTCTAGCAATTTCCGTGGATCATAGGTTGTACATTCGTTGGATCCAAATTCTATTGATAACATATCAGGGAAGGCCCAACCCAAAACTCATCTAATTGGGTAGGGTCTAGATTTAAGAATATAAACCCATATTTCGACCCATAATAAAATAATGGGCTCAACATTAATATTTTGAATCTTTGTTTTCATTTTTCTTTAAATGAACTACATAAAAAGATTAAAAAAAATAAAAAATGAAATAAAAAATAGAACGTTGATCAAATGATGAGGATGAATTAAATTCAAATAAAAGGGTTGGAAATTGAATTTAAAGAATTGCCTTTTCCTTTTAAAATTTTTTCTTTTTCCCTTTTTTATTCTAAAAGATATTCTACTTCTATTTTCGTTATTATTTGAAAATGAAAAAGCGTGGACACAAGCTTTAAGCACGATTTATGCGTTTATGACCGGGGCACAAATTTGAAATTGGGCCTACGTAATAGCCAATATAAGAGTGTGTCTATGTGCGTGGGACAACAGTGTGTATATATGTTTTAAAGGTGCATATGTGCGTCTGAAAAGTGTGTTGGAGTGTGTGTCTCAGTGTATTTGAGTGTGTGTGAAAAATGTGTGCAAGTGCGTGTCAAATGTATTTGAGTGTGTGTTGGAGTGTATTTGAGTGTGTGTGAAAAATGTGTGCAAGTGCGTGTCAAAAGTGTATGTACGTTTGTGTGTGTATGCGCGTGTAGTGTGTGTGAGCGTGAATATATACAATACAAGTATATATTACTCGTTGCAAAATGCATGTGTGAGGATATGTTAGAGAAGAATTAGAACTACAAGTACCAAGTACCAAATAATAAAAAGTTCTCTAATGTAAATTCTCATAACTCTGAGGACCGAACTCTAATTATCAATTCTTCTCTTTTCGTTTCAGTCGACCATTTAAACGCCGTCGTTTCAGTCCACCAGCTTCAAATTCCCACAGCGTTTCTTCGTTTCGGTTGCATTTCATTTCACCAACAATTCGCCCTTCTTCTTCTTCCTTGAGCTTCGATTTTCCCCAATTCAGTTTGTCCGAAACCCTAATTAGAGCAAACGCCTGTTCAGTTCGTTTTATATAGAGACACATCGTGTTGTATGTATCTATAAACAATGGTGGGCGCTTCTCTGGCTGGTCTGCAAGATCATCTCAAGTTAGCGAGAGAGTACGCAGTCGAAGGGCTCTACGATACTTCCGTTATCTTCTTCGATGGCGCCATTGCTCAGATCAACAAGTAATTATTCTTTGATCCCCGTTTCATTTTTTGTCATTACATCTTGCAATTACTTGATATTTTGAACCTAATCGAAGGCGTAATTAATTCAAAATCGCGAATTGGGGAAATCTGCACTCTGGAGTGTCGAATTTTGAATATTAATTTTATTTTAATTTTCATAGGCATTTGAATACTGTTGACGATCCTATGCTCCGTACGAAATGGATGAATGTAAAGAAAGCAATTTCAGAAGAAACAGAGGTGGTGAAGCAGTTGGATGCCGAAAAAAGGTCATTCAAGGAGGCTTCTCTAGGCAGACGCCCTAATTCCCCTCCTATTTCGACTAAATCGTCTTTCGTATTTCAACCGTTGGATGAGTACCCTACTTCATCTGGTGCCTCAATGGACGACCCGGATGTGTGGAGGCCGCCCACCCGAGATCCAGCGGGTCGGCGACCCACGAGACCCGGTCAAGTGGGCACGAGGAAAGCACCACAAGATGCGACGTGGGCCCGTGGAGCTTCAACAAGACCAACGGGTCGTGGAGGAAGGACAGCTGGCAGTGCCGGTGGCGGTGGCTCTAGTAAGGCAAACACTGGAGTTCGGTCTTCGACTACTACTTCTACTGCTGCAAAGAAAGGATCTGGAAAGAACACCGCTGGAAAAGCAGATTCTGTTGTAAGTTTTAACGCTTAGAATATTCGGTTGTTATTTTGGTTGTTTAATTAATTTAAGTGATCGACTAATTGCAGTAATAGTTCCCTTTTCTTCTTTTGTGTGCAACTGGTGTATACTTGCTACTGATTTGAGTGTTATTGTGGTTGCTAAATGGGTAACTAAATTGAATAATTTGTGGTTCGATTGAAAAGGAAATATATCACTGCTATTATAAACAGAGGTTTGAGCGTTTTAGTTTACGATGGCAATTGTTACATGTTTTCCTTTTCTATGCACTTTCAGTAAGTGATATGAGTATAATGTTAGAAGAAAGCAAGAGACCATAATCACGCGCGCGTACTCTGTTTCGATAATTTCTTTTGTGGACACTAAATTAGTTTATTGACTGTTGTACACTTATGTCAGGGAATATCATTTGTTCTGTTTAATTATATGCTTCTATTTGTACGCCCTAAGACGATGATAGCTCAGGTCTATATCTTTGAAGTTCTATGCCTTTAGTAGTTGATGGCAGTTCTGTTAATCTACATGCCAAGGGTTGTCATAGCAATTTTTGTCAAATGACAACCTTGAAGACTCTCTAGGACTTTGGTTTCTGACCTCGCGGTTTCTTGTCATTCACATTTTATGAAACATATTTTGTCTGTTCCATAAATCTTTGCGGTAATTTATGTAACTTTGTGTGATGGAACAAGTTCTCCGTTGTCTAATTTAAAGCTTCCAGTTGACTACATAGATAATAGATATACGCTTCAGTTCTAACTGGAACATTTTATTGTGACAGCCACATAGTTTGACGGGAGTTGAATATTGTTTAATCCATATTACTTGTAGAGGGCATTATAAACCTTTCTTGCTTCACAATTTTGACTTCTTGTGGAGTATATCCGATTGTTATGGTTTTACTATTGTTCCTATTTTCATATCTATTTATATATTTTGAGTTTCTTAATGAATTTGTTGCAACATTTCAGAATGGTGACTTTGAGGAAGGGAAGCCCAAAAAGGTGCAATATGAAGGGCCCGATGCAGACTTGGCAGCTATGCTCGAAAGGGATGTTTTGGACTCGAGTCCTGGTGTAAGATGGGATGATGTGGCTGGTTTAAGTGAAGCAAAAAGACTTCTCGAGGAAGCTGTTGTTCTTCCATTATGGATGCCCGAATATTTCCAGGTATCAGATATCTCTCAAAAATGAATGATTTCTTACTAGTCTAATGCTAGTTGGTCTAAATTAGATCTTACTGTAATACACGTACTTCAAACGAAATCTTGAAAACATGTATTTGCTTGTAGGGAATCCGTAGGCCATGGAAAGGTGTCCTCATGTTTGGCCCCCCAGGTACTGGAAAGACACTTCTCGCTAAAGCCGTTGCAACTGAATGTGGGACCACATTTTTTAATGTTTCTTCTGCCACTTTGGCTTCAAAATGGCGTGGAGAAAGTGAAAGAATGGTTAGATGCTTATTTGATCTCGCTCGAGCTCATGCTCCCAGCACAATATTCATCGATGAAATCGATTCTCTTTGCAATTCTCGCGGGTAAGGAATTTAATTATTTTTTGTACAAATTTTGTAATTGGCCAATTCATATTTTTTTGCTAATTTTGTCCGACTCTGCGTTTTTTTTAGGGCTTCTGGAGAACATGAGTCGTCGAGGAGGGTAAAATCGGAACTTCTAGTTCAGGTTGATGGGGTGAATGCTTCTTCGACCAATGAAGATGGTACGCGCAAGCTTGTGATGGTTTTGGCGGCCACGAATTTTCCTTGGGATATAGATGAGGCTTTGAGGTTTGGTCCTTTGTTTATTTGCGTTCTTATAGTTTTTTTATATTGTCTTCAAATTCTAACTTATGTATTTGATTTATTCACGATAAATGTACGTAGGAGGCGGCTGGAGAAAAGAATTTACATACCTTTACCGAATTTCGAGAGTCGTAAGGAGCTTGTACGAATAAATGTGAAAACTGTGGAGGTAATAACTTACTGCTTTTTCCGGTCTGTGTGTGTGTGCGTGCGTGTGTGTGTGTGTGGTGTGTGCGTGTATGACTTAATTTCCCCATCGACCAATACTTTGCATGTCTTCTGGTGAAAATTGCCGACAATTGAGAAATATTTAGCATATGATGCATCATAGCATATATCATATATCGTGTATAAAATCGGTAATGGGGAACACAAGTATTTATAGATTTGGGTCCCTAACATTTTTCGACTTTTTCTTCACTGTCAGTATTTAAACAAACTAACGGTTACCATTATTTTGGAAGTCGTGCATTACTTATATGCTATATTTTCTTGCTAGAATTCGTATTACTTCTTACTACAAATCAGTTCTTACTTCTTACATTAGGAAACAAAGATTTGATGAACAAACTTATTCTGTTTGTAAGTATTTAATTAAATTTTCTTTTTAATAATGTCTACTCTCATTATTGTCCACATGTCTTTTTATGTGATGCTATTAATCGACGTTTTATTAGTGGAATTGATTGCCATCTTATCCAATTAAGGCCCCGTTTGGAAACGTTGATTGGAATTGTCAAGATTGATTAAACTCGTTAGAATTACATTGTCCCATGTGATCAATCACCTTGATTATATTTTCATGCCTTTCCTTTTTGTGGGTACAATATAACAGGTAGCTGCAGATGTGGACATTGACGAGGTGGCGCGTAAGACAGAGGGGTACAGTGGAGACGACCTGACGAATGTTTGTAGAGATGCTTCGTTAAACGGCATGAGGCGAAAGATTGCAGGGAAGACACGCGATGAAATCAAGAATATGCCTTAAGACGAGATTTCGAACGATCCTATTGCAATGTGCGACTTTCTAGAAGCTATTGCTAAGGTTCAGCCCAGTGTTTCTGCTTCCGATATCGAAAGGCACGAGAAATGGTTCTCCGAATTCGGGTCCGCCTGAGAATTTTTTTTTTCTTTTTTTTTTTTTCGGGTTTTCGAAATGGAAATTGATGGTGTTGTGTTTGTTTGTATTTGTAAGGGTAACTTTGTATTCTATCTATTACAGATTTTTTTTTTTTTTTTTTTTTTTTTTTATGATTATTTTGAAGATATTTTATTTATTATTCTTACTTTCATGAATGCATGCATGCATGTGATTTGTACACTGCAAAAACACACACACCCGTGTGGGTGTGTGTGTGTTTTGATGGTGATTTTGCTACACTTTTAAAACGTGATTATTTGAGATTCAGCTTCTTCGATACGACAACGAATTTGAAATTATTCTTTTTATTTTTTATTTTTTTATTTTTTTTATTTTTATGCTATAATAGCTGAACTTCGCTATATATAGAATTTAGCATATACTTATTCTGGTAAGTACTATTTACACATGTATCTGTGTGTGATTGTGTGAAGATTTACGATGAGATACTATTCCCTTTAATTCCCTTTAATTCCCTCGATGTAGCATAGATAAAACCCATATTTGCATTATTGAAAGAATCGATTTTTTATAAGCTTTCTGGATTTTTCATCTCAATGTGCCATTGTTTTCTCCGCCTAGTAACCATCTTTAATTTATTCATATATTACAATCATGGGGTCATTAGCAATAAACCCTTCATATAGATAATAAATGGTGATATGTCCACCCCTTCAATCTTTATTTGTGATAGCCCCCTAGAATTTGTATTCCCAATTGTACCCTTATGTCAATTAGGATAATTAGTCTAAATTATTCCTTTTTTTCTCTCTTTCCATAACAATAATCTAATTCCTAAAAATCTCCTTCCAAATTCCTAAAAATCTCCTTCCAAATTCCTATAAATTTGTTACCAAATCAAAAAAAAAAAAAATTATTTTTTTTATTTTTTATTATTTTCGGATTTTTTAGCCATTTTTCATTTATTTTTATTTTTTAATATTTTTTTAATAAAAAAAAAATTAATTTTTTTTAAAAAAAAATTTTAAACAAAAAATTGATTTTTTTTTCTTGACAGATTTACAACTCCGAATATGACTATAGTTAAACATGACCATATGTGACTATATAGACATATTCTTTCTTTATATTGCATTTTTTTATATTTTCAACTTAAAAAATTCGATTATATAATGTGGTATAGTCATGTTTACCAAATTATATAAAACAAAGAAGATTCCCCTATTGTTTTACGAAAACAATCCAATCAAAATTCACACAAAAAATACCAATTTTGAATCTAGTTATTCGAATATGACTACAGTCATATTCAACAATAATCATATTCGAATATGACTCCAATCATATTCAAAAAATACATAAATATGACTATAGTCATATTCGAACATAACTATAGTCCTGTTATGAAAAAAAATTTCGAAAAATACATAAAGATATAAAAATAACGAAAGAGAGTCATGGGGAGTCGACGACAACGGCGATGGTGGCGGTGGTGAAGTAAAGAGAGTGAGAGAGGCTATATGTGACTATATAGACAAATTCTTTCTTTATGTGACTATATAGACATATTCTTTCTTTATATTGCATTTTTTTATATTTTCAACTTAAAAATTTCGATTATATAATGTGGTATAGTCATGTTTACCAAATTATATAAAACAAAGAAGATTCCCCTATTGTTTACGAAAACAATCCAATCAAAATTCACACAAAAAATACCAATTTTGAATCTAGTTATTCGAATATGACTACAATCATATTCAAAAAATACATAAATATGACTATAGTCATATTCGAACATGACTATAGTCCTGTTATGAATTTTTTTTTCGAAAAATACATAAAGATAGAAAAATAACGAAAGAGAGTCATGGGGAGTCGACGACAACGGCGATGGTGGCGGTGGTGAAGTAAAGAGAGTGAGAGAGGCGGCGACGGTGGTGGTGGTGGGGGACAAATCTGGAAAAAAAATAAAAAAAAATGAGAAAGATAACGAAAAAGAGAGAAAGAGTCTTACGTGGAAACGAATGAGGAGGCGGCGGCAACGAGCGGCGACGGTAATGGTTGTGTACAAATTTATGTGGAGACGATGGTGGTGTAAAGAGAGAGAAATCGAGAGAAACAACGAACACGAGAAATAAATAAATCACTAATCGAGTGAATCAACAATAGTCATATTCGAACCAGAGTAGTCACGTTGATGCTGCTGTTTCAGATTTGGAGAGAAAAAAAAAAAGAAAAAAATCGAAAAAACCTGGGGAGGCGACGACAACGACAGTGAATGACAGAGAGAGTGGGGACGTGGCTACGGTGGCGGTGGTGGACAAATCTAGGAAAAAAAAAGAAAAAAAAAAGAAGAAAAAATTGAGAAATCGAGAGAAAAGGAAAAAAAATGAAATCTCCATGTAACGCATCCGACGAAGGGCGGCGACGAGGTTGGGGAACATGATTTGTTTTTTTTTTGTGTTTTTTTTATTTGATTTTCTTTTTCAATTACTCTTTATTTATTTTTTATATAAATAAACATGTTATATTTTTAATAATGTAAATATTAATATATATAACATGTTAGCTAAAAGGCACCCAATCTCCACCACCTACCCCTCTGCAAAACATTTTGTCAGCTTCCAATAACGTGTGGTAGGTTATGATTTTTGCATGATGTTTGGTATCAGAATTCAGAACCATATGGAAAATAAATAATTAAAACGACGCCGAAATCTTAGACGACGTTTTAAAATTTTGAAATTAAAACTCGATTATTTTCAAAAAAAATTATAAAAAATCTAATCACATAAGGGCACTTTAGTCTTATCATGTATGGTTAGGGGTGTCTCACTAATTAAGAATGAAACTTGGGTGTAGGCAAAAGTCTTTAATAGTCAATTGGGTTTAGTTCAAAATATTTTCAATTTGAGGGGGGTATTGCATATTTCCCCTACAATCATATTGTAAGAAAAAATAAAATATACGTAATATCCTATGTAAATATCTGCATATCCTTAATTTGTTTTATTTGTTTAATTAGAGTAAGATTGAGATTAAATCTACTCACATAACTTTAATTTTTCAATTAGTGAATCAAAGCCAATTTATACTTTTATATATATATATATATATTTACATATATATGTTTGATTCTCTTTCACCAAATTAAAAGAAAAATGGGAGACATTTTCTTGAACTTCACTCCCACTTCTTATTTCCTTGTTCCTCTCTTCTTCTTCCTCCTCCTCGGCCATGTTCCGATCCATGCACAAGGTACTAATTGTTCTTCATTTTATGTGATTTAAAATAATACCTATCCGCAAAGTCAACATAGGGGCCGGGGGGCCTGCTCCCACATCGTTCAACATTTCTCAAATCTCTATTAATTGATATATAAATATAAAGTTTTTGTGTACTATGCATTAACGTTGTTAACAGGCCTCCCTCAGATTTTTTTTAATGCATTCGGTGCCACCGAACTTAAAATTCTGATTCCACTGATGATCTGACAAATTTGAAGTTACAGTTTGATTCGTTTAATTACAAATGAAAATAAAATGTTATTTGATAATATTTATGAATGAATGAATATATACTAATACAAGGTTATTTTTAATTAATTAATATAAATATGCAGATGATGTTTGTGCAAATGTGGATTGTGTGAGGGGCAATTGTGTACAATCTAGTGGCTCAATTTTTGGGTATGATTGTGAGTGCTTCTCTGGATGGAAGAAAGTTGAATTAGGTCCATTGGTTATCCCTGCTTGTGTTCTTCCAAATTGTAAGTCTCCATCTATTTAATTTCTGATTTTTTTTTCTTGAATTTTATGAAATGAATTAATGGAATAATTTTTTCGCTTCCTAAAATAATTGATTTAAATAAAAAAAAAATCAATTTCGATCCGGTCTGTCTAATTTATACCCTTTGTCAATACTACGACAATGGTATTTTCTCGTACAACTCCGAATAATCATATATACAAACCTAATAGACGAGGATAAATTATTTGCAGGCACTCTAGATTTGCAATGTGAGGCACCACCGCCTCCTCTCCCGCGATCTTTCGATCTTTCAAACCGTAAACAAACTTTAATTTCTAATTATAACTTACAATAAAATATATAAATAAGTAATTGGGACTGAAAATGAAGATTATATTCAAAAAAAATAATTACTTTCTTTCGATAGCTTGCAATTTTGTATGGTGCGGTGATGGGAGCTGCGTCGTAAACGGGACGGGGCATTATTGTCAATGTAACCAAGGGTCTTCCAATTTATTGAGCAACATTTCATTAGTTTGCTTAAAGCAATGTAAGTATTAGCAATATATCATTTTCATAGGTAATAGATATAAATATATAACATATATTAATAAAATAAAATATTACTTTTTGTTCGAGAAACTAATTTTATCTCCAAATTATTGGTTTATTTATTAACAGGTAGCTTTGGAGCAGACTGTAGTGCACTTGGGTTTGGTCCACCTGTAATCACAGAACCACCAAATGGTATGTTAACACTGCCGCCACCATCACAAGCACCACCGCCGCCGCCACCTTTGCCGCCCACAAAGGGTAGGTGGCTCTCTAATTCTTACATCATTCAATTAAAATTGCCAAAACATTAAATACAAAACAAATATTTATCATTTTCTACTAAGGTGTAGTAATAACTAAATAATCGAATGCATTTAAATTCCTTCGTATTAACTAGTGGTCTAAGCATCGCAACATATTTTTTTTAACGTATTTGTGATATCGAATACGAATGTTCTAAGTCGCATTAAAACGTTGCATTGTTAATCTCTTCATCGTTTATTTTTTCTTCTAGAAGGATCCGGAGAGAGCTCAAACGGTCGGAGGAATCGCGGAGATGCCAATATGGCTTTGTTAACTGCATCCATTTTGGTGTTAGCCTTGTAATTTCCACTTTGTATTTCATTGAGAGTTTTTAATATATATTATTCATGAATATGTTGGTAAAATTGATCATGATTATTAAAAAAACTAAAATTTTAATTTAATTTAATTTATTATTTTGTGAAATAAAATCATTATTTACACTTAGGACAAGATAACATGTTGATAGACCGGAGGCGAGGCCCCCTTACCTAACCAAATAACCATGTTTATAATTAGGGGCCGGGGAACAACATTGAAAAAATCAAGCTTTGATTCTTTAATTTTTCTCTTTATTTTTTTATGCTGTCGAGACTCGAATTTTCTAGGATCCATAATATCGAGAAATAACCAATCTATATTCTATAGGAATACAAAATATAAAAGAAAATACGACCCTTATTATTAAACTCAAAACAACTCAATTT